GGTCAGGTGTTCAGCAGTGCACGTAAGTAGTGTCTCTTCCTCCCAGGCAAGAAGGCAATAGAAGGAAACACTAGTGTGGGCCCAGTTGCTGTCTGGGAGTTTCCAGGCCTGAAGGAGAGGCTACCTAAAGCATTGATCCGGATGGTATCTGGCCCAGTAGAACTAGAAGCAGAGAGGAGAACTGGACCAACGAAATGCTCACGAGAGTCCCTTTAGCTGACACTCAGCTAGAGTTTTCAGGACCTGAAGTGGGAGGAGAACTGGGAAGAGAAATGAATTCAAAGAGACAGGTGTTGTGCAGTGCTCAGGTAGGAGACCAAATATTAGGCTTGGGGGTGGAGAGTGTCTGGAGTAGGAGTACATTGTCTAGACCCCCTACCATTAGCAGACAGAAAGGAAATAGATGTGGCTGACTTAAAATGACAGGATGACAGCAATGACATTATGAGAAGAGAATCAGAAAAGTGCAAAGCCCATATTTAGAAAGTGGAAACTATCTCTTTGCCATCAAATTATCCCTGGAGAGCTCCCCCAAACAGGGTCAGGTCTCTAACCTGAGACCTCCCACATAAAAGGACTCTTCCCCTAACAATTCTTCTTCCTTTGAGGGATTCCTCAAAGGCCAGGGAAAGGATCAGCCACAGTGAAGACTCCATCTCTAGGTCTTTGTTGCTGGCTGCTGGGCTGACAGGGTCTGTCTCTGTCCTTCCTATCCACCTCCACCACCCATACTATCAGCTCCTTAAGAGCACCAACTATGGTGTTAAGTCACCAAATCCTTAGCACTTAGCCTGGCATCTGTTGGCGCGTGGGGAGACACTCAGTATGTGCCTGTTGAATGGGGGACATTCTCTGCTAGATGTCACACAGAGGGCTGGCATGGCCTTGTGCTTCTCTTGGTATTACCAATGCATAGGAGAGACTATATGAGAGAAAATGAGTCCACTCACCATACCTTATAGTCAGCCCCTGCCAGGGACTACCACAGATCTACACAGGGAAGGCAGGGAAACCAGGGCAGAAGCTGGCTTGCCCCAATCCAGGCCAAGACCCCAGAATGGAAATTAGACATAAAACCAGGCACTTGGAGACACTGTAGATCACCTAAATCCACAGCTAATCACAAAAGCTCATTTTAGTCAACAGTTTTCACCCTTCTTAAAGCAATTTCTTCTCAGAACTGAAAAAAGGTAGGCTAGCTTGAAAATATTTAGTTTTCCTGCTGCATGTCATCCTCTGGGGAATTAGCCAAGTTGTAACGAGATGTTCAGAGCAGACAGGGGAGATAATAGAAAGCTCGGATAATCTATATTATGGCTAATACACTGCAACAAGATAGCCAAGAAACACTATTACTAAGGCATATAAAATTCAGTGCAAAGAGGAGAAAATCATTAACATACCCAGCAGTCCAAAAACCCACTGGCTTTTTGTCTCTTTTTACCCCTTAAGGATTGCTAGGCCTGACTACCAGAGTGACCTGGTAGTCAGGGAGGGAGACAGCACTGACGGTTTGATGTAAGTACAGGCTGTGGTCAATGCTCCCCATTACTAGAGATCCCAAATCTGATGTCAGTCTAATCCCATGAGCTGTACAGGAAGGAGGTCAGTGTATACATGTGTATACACGGGCAAAAAAAGGTAAAAGAGAACCCTGTAAATCTAGTAAGACATCAGCAGTTGTCCTGAACAAACATTGTTTGGAGTATAAATTTACAAGGATAATTACCAACGCATTACACCAAGTGCAGTAACTTTCTTGTTAGCACAATTTGGCAGATGTGTGTCACATGGAAAGTGGAACAGCTGAAACTGTGACAGGTTGCTGAAAAATGGCTGGTTTCCTAAGCACCCAGTCCCCTGAGTCTGTACCATAATCTTGTTCTTAAAATGACAACAACAACAAACAAGCAAAGAAAAAGTTTCCACTGCAGAAACTGCTGGCTTGCTAAAATCTATGAAGTGAATTTTCAGTACCTAAGTGTGGAGAGACTGTTGGGATCTGTGTCATTAGACCACGCTACCACAGGAGAGAGATCTGGATCTGAATCCTGTCTCTCCTGTCTACCAGTCCCAGGTTCTAGGGAAAGTGAGTTAACTTCTGTGAGCCTCCATTTCCTTATAAAATGGAGATAATAATCTCTAACATACACCGTTGTCATGAGCAGAAAAAATTGTGTGTAGAGTATTTTGTACAGTGTCTGGCAAATAATAAGTGTTCAAGGAAATGGTGTTAAGTAGACTTGCTTAACTAAACATCATCCTTGGCTGCATAATGCAGAGGTGACTACCCATGTATTTTACCTTTTTAAAAAAAGAAGTGGGCTGGGCGTGGTGACTCACACCTGTAATTCCAGCACTTTGGGAGGCCGAGGAAGGTGGATCACCTGAGGTCAAGAGTTCGAGACCAGTCTGGCCAACATGGTGAAACCCCATCTCTACTAAAAATACAAAAATTAGCCAGGTGTTATGGCACGGGCCTATAAGCCCAGCTACTTGGGAGGCTAAGGCAGAAGAATCACTTGAACCCAAGAGGCAGAGGTTGCAGTGAGCCAATCATACCATTGCACTGCAGCCTGGGCAACAGAGTGAGACTCTGTCTCAAAAAAAAAAAAAAGAGAAAGAGAGAGAGAAGAGAGAAGAAGAAGAAGGGAGAGAGATAAGAGAGAAGAGAAAGAGAAGAGAGACAGAGAGAGAAAGCGACAGAGAGAAAAAAAGAAAGAGAGAGAGATCACCTGACTCTCAGAAGGTGGGAAGAGAGAAGAGGCGGTAATAATTGAAGTTTTCCCTGGAGACTATACCCAAGAAATTGTGCTTTCCATAGACGAATCATTTTGGGAAAAACAAACAAACAAAACCCAACTGCTTATCCTTACTATATGCCACCATGTCACCAGAACTATTTTCTTCCAGGTAAGAAGTTGCAGGGAAATCTCATATTTGAAAGCCTTTTGCGAGTCCATAAAATGGGACCCATTTCCTAAATGACCACTCTTAGCAAATTTTCCGTAATGGATATAACAAGGTATTTCGATTGACAAAGTGGCTCATCTTTCCCTCCCTCTAAGAGAAGGAAATCAAATCATGTCCTAAGCACGGTGCATCTGGTTGTTTATTTTGTGAGCCCCAAGGCTTACAAAAATGCTGTAAGTAAGCACTGCCTAGGAAATACATGCAGTTAAGGCTGAAACAGTTCCAGAAGAGAAAAGATCTTAAATCCTTTTCTGTGACATGAGAAAGCACCTCAAATTCTAATTAAGAAGAAGCAATTAGCCACCCACAGATCCTTAACACTGCTTCCCATGGCCAGGCAATCATCTCTATTAAAACCCATTTTAAAGTAAGGAACCAACCCAAAGCTCCATAGGCACATACTTCACACAAATCAATTACCCCCTTAGACACATTCCTTAAATACTCTCAGGAAAACTCTGCCTGCAGAGAGGGCTTTTATGAAAGGACTCCATCAGACATGATGAGGCTGTTGCAAAAAGGGAGGTACCAAGCAGCAAATGTGACAATTTGAGGTAATAAAATCCACTCACAAAGCGGGATGCTGAATCTCTGGTCAGCTGGACAAAGCAAGGCAAGCTGAAGCCTCAGGTTTCCCTGGTCAGTATAACAATTTGTCAACTCCATCCTAAAGGAGTACATCAAGTGAAACAGTTTCTGCCTACTGAAACAAGAACCCAAGAGTTTTTACGTGTGCTCAGACCTGTCTAAACTGAAGTTTCACCAGAGGACTGTCTTCTCACATCTCAATTTCACTGAAGTGCCCACAGGGTGCACTTGGCAGTTTCACAATGAGTCCAATCCACTCAAACTTGTTTGCTTTCTCCATCCCAGTTAGGTCCCTTCCTACATAAGACTCCCTTTAATGAGGGGAATTCATTGTTGTCTGCAGCCACAAGTTGCTTCTACATTCAGCAATAGAACAGCTATACAACGGTCAGTAAGTCAATAAGATCTAAGTATCTTTCTCAAGAACTAAGGTTGTTTCTCAATCCAATAAAGTTACTCCAATAACCTATTACTTCTCAACTGAACAAGAGCCTTTCTTCCCTCTGTGTCTGTGGATTTTTTTTTGAGTTGGAAAATTTCCCATCAAGCAAGATATCAAAAATGTTGATCTAGACCAGCACTGTCCAGATGATTAAATTTAAATTTTTCCTAGGAGCTACTTTTAAAAGGAAAATGAAACAAATTAATTCTAAGAGAATATTTTGCTTAACCGATACATCCCAGAAATATTACCATTTCAATATACAATCAATATAAAACATAATTAATGAGATGTTTTGCATTCATTTTTCATACATTCTTTTTCTCATACTATATTAGACTATGGTGATCTAGAGCTATGTTCAAATTGACATGTAGCAAGATGGATATAGTTAATAATACTGTAATGCCTACAGGAAATTTGCTGGGAGAGCAGATTTCAAGTGCTTTCACCAAAAAAAAAGGTAATGATGTAAAGGAATGGATATGTTAATTTGCTTCACTGTCATAATCATTTCACTATATCAAAACATCTCATTGCATACCTTAAATATATACAATTTTTATTAAAAAGAAAAAAATTGACATGAAAAGACTTCCATAACTCACTGTTCTATGAATAGTTTACCAAGGTGTGTATGCAGCAAGCCCTCATTTTAAGTTTATAAAAATCTATATGTATTCAGATATGCAAAGAAAATAGTCTGTAAGGGAAGACACCAACAGTATTAGTAGTTATCTCTGAGAGGTAGAATTATGGATAGTCTTTACTTTCTAATGTGCACTCTTGTATTTTCTAAATTTTTTTGCAGTAAGCATATACTGCTTTAATTATCAAAGTAACTAGAAGCCTAGTCTTTAAAAAAATCTCTCCCTTGTTTTAAGTTATTATTCGCCTGATCCTGTTGGCACTATAGTCATTGCCCTATTTCCAGCTAACAGAAGAGATGGTCAAACAGCATGACCTTACCACCCCCACCCAGCACTGTCATACTTACAGCCAATCATCATGATGGCCACTGCAAAGATCTTCTCAATGTCTGTGGATGGGGCGATGTTCCCAAAGCCCACACTGGTGAGGCTGGTCATTGTGAAATACAACGAGGAGATGTAGACAGAATTCTTGCTGGGACCACCTTCCCACTTCCCTGAGCCAGACCCATTAAACTGGTAAGGGGTGCCAATGTCCATCGCTAGTTGGTACAGCCAGCTGTTGTTGCGGATTGTCTTGGTGTCCTCGTCAAAGATCTCATAGTCCCCAATGCTGTACCAGATGCAGGCCATCCAGTGTGCAGCCAGCCCAAACACACACACCAGCAGGACCAGCACAGCAGCTCCATATTCAATGTAGTGGTCCAGCTTACGGGCCACTCGCCCAAGACGGAGCAGCCGGACAACTTTTAGAGAGCTGAACAGGCTGCTGATGCCCTGGGAGAAGAGGAACACAGCGTCAGGGCCAAAGAACCAAAGATACTACTCTCGTCCCCTCCGCCCCACTTGGGCCATTATTTTAAGCATAGTATATTTCCGTGAGATGCAATATTATGCAACCCTTAAAAAAAGTAAAATTAGAATTTTATTCCAAGATGTATGAAATGAAAATTCCCGTTACCATTTTCTACTTCCATTAAAAAGCAAGTAAGCAAGCAGACAAAACAAATAGAATTAGAATTATATTGTACATAATAAACAAATATATGTGGGCATCTTTCCATATCATTACTTACTTTAAAAAATTTTAAGGGTTGTGTAATATTTCATCTCATGGAATTGAGATATTGCATAATATGAAAAAATTTTAAGGGTTGCATAACATTTATTTCATATTGCATAACATTTCATCCAAATTATATTGTGCATAAATATGCAAATATATATGTACTGAAAATATATTTTCAGTATTGTGAAGTACACCAAAATATTAATAGAGGTTATTGCTGCATTAGCAAGTTATGAAATTACAGGTAATTTTTATATTTTGTATATATTTTTGTTATATTTACTTAATTTCTATAATATTATCTATAATTTTAAAAAATAAGTTTATAAATTTAAAAAAATATATAGTTTTTGAAAAGCTAAAAATAAAGAAATAGCTGAGAAGAATAAAGAACTGAGATTCTGTTACCTCAGAAACATTATAAATTCTTAGAAGGCCATATCACTTCTGTCAGGACAGGGATTATACAATCAGACACCACCTACTTAAATACAATCAGTCAAGGAATCTAAAAGCTAGAAGGAACCTTCTGATTTCACCTGGTCAAGCCTCTTCCCTTCTGGCTGGCATCCACTGATCACACCAGGCCAGGTCTATTCTCCAAATAGTAGTTTTCTAGGGAACAGCATTGTGGTAGTGAAGAAAACACTTGAGTACAAACCTGGAAAACGGGGTCTGAGACTAACATAAACCACTAACTTGCTGTGAATTTGGATAATTCAGCTACCTCTCGGTTCTCTTCTCTAGACAATGGGAGGTGGACTGAGGATCTCTAAGTCTTCTCCATACACTAACATACTCTTATTACCAAAGATAGCTGATACATATTGCAGAAGCCATATCATTTACAACCCCAAACCTAAGGTGTTCTAACGTGATTCCAAGATGTATGCAAGTGAAGTTTCTGTTAGCTTTTTTCTACCTCCATTACAAAGCAAATAAACAAGCAAACAAAACAGACATTTGAGTCAAGACTTTGTCCTCCCTTAAATAGCAAACATCCAAGAAAGGATGATGTCCTTTACTAAGTAGATTGAATTACTTTTCATTATTTTAAACACTAACAGTTTCAATGTTACTGCTATTCTCTCTTGTCCACTGTCCCTTTAATAACAACACTCCAAGGGTCAAGTTATGTCACAGACAAAAGGAAAATGTACAAATGCTTTTTGAGGAACCTATGCCAGAAATCCACCAAGAGGCTTTTCCTCTTCCTGGATACACAGTTAAACTATATTTTGCAGCTTCTTCCATCTGGGTAGTTCCTGGGGACTAGTTCTTGCCAATGGAATGTGAGGTGAAATATGTCACTTCCAGGCCATGGCAGTTAGTAAGTGTGCTTTCTCTACATGCTTCTCCTCCCCCAGCACATCTTCCAGGTGAGTCTAGCATGACTGTGAGGCCATGCATTGAAGGTGGACCCACAGCATGAAAAGAGCCTGGGTCCCAGAAGGACTATGTGGAACATCCCTTCCCCCAAAATCAATTTGAATTGTATTGTGATGTAAATGAGAAAGAAACCTCTGAAATAAGCCACTGGAACTTTGGGGAACATTTGTTACAGCAGCTAGTATTTGCCTTCCCTGACAAATACAGAACCCCTCTGTCATGTGAACACGTAAACCATACGTAGCATAGCCTTGTCAATACAGACCATACATCAGGTTGCCACACAAATTATTTTTGTTGAGGTGAGGATGGAAGAGGTGAGATTTATTGCCCTTTAAAAAAAAACTGACAAGTTTGTAGCCATAAAACGTTCAACCATTCTTGTCCAACATACACCAACAAATGGCTAGATGCAAGAATAAGAATAGATTTTTGTAGGCCAAGGAACTACATCTCCAGGGTCAGTCTCATCCAAACCGTTTTTAACAAACCTTACTTTTGGCATGCCCAATATTCCTCCTCTGGGTCTCTTTTTCCCCTATGTGTGTTTTTCTCAAAAACCCACTATGTAAAAAGGGCTGAGAAAATCCCTTATACTAAAGCACAAAAGACTAATGAGGATAAATGGATATCCTCTCTTTATAGGCATTTACATTCTAACAGAGGAGAAAACCTTGGGAAATCAACTTCCAACAGTGGAATTAAAAGTGCCCACAGCCTGCATGGAGGAGATATTTTGGGAGGCAAAGGAGTGTTTTTGATGACTCAGAAATCAAACACTACATAAGCAGCCACCTACTCTCCACCTCCTCATAAGGAGGTCCCTGAAATCATCTTTCAAACAGTTCTACTCTGAAGCAGAACTTACTGCCCAGGGCAAAATGGCCTTGTCATTTTTCCTTACTTGTATTCAGTTCAAAGCAACATTTATATAGAAGCCAGTATGTACTCTTTGTGCTAATGCTATAGAGAAGAGATTAAACCAACAGTGTCTTTTTCTTCTTGTTCACTATTGTATCTCCAACACCTAGAATATGGACGGTGCTCAATAGGGAGAAAATGAGAAAGAATCAAAAGCATAATAATAGTGAGAGATACAAGACATGATAACTGAAAATATATTTCTGCCTAATAATTGCAGAATTGGAGAGCTAAGAGGGAGCATAGAATTCACCTAGGCCAGTTCCTCTGAGTTCAGCAATGTCCTCTAGACCACCTTTAAGAAATGGTCATCCAGCCTCTCCTAGACCACTCCCACTCCTACTACCTCTGAAGAGCAGACTTCTGTGGCAGTCATTTATAGAGATAAACTGCCATTGGGGGTCCCATCATCTTTCTTATCTCCCTCTTACTTCGTCCTTTCTCCATCCTTCCTCTGTGGCCACCACAGTCCATGCAATTACTAGCCAAAGGCCATGCTATCCTCTAGCCATACACTCAAAGTGTTGCAAGCATCCCACATTGTGGAGGCACAATTGCACAACTGTGCCTGCTCAGACTGGTCCTTCAATCCAGAATGCTCAGCATTCCTGTTTTGCATACTAGTGAGTCTTCAGGTTTGTCACCAACTCCAACCAAGTACCAACTCCTCCATGTGTCCATAAGTATTCTATATTCGTTATCACTTGAACACATTGCCTTGCATTAATTTCCTGTATCTATTTCCCCAACTACATCAGGAACTATACCTCTCTGAAGGCAATAGCCACTTTTTATTCATTTTAGAAGCCCCATGTATTCAGCATGTGTTGTGTTAAATAAGGTCCCCACAAAAATCTATGTCCTTCCTAGAACCTCAGAATGTGACCTCATTTGGAAAAAGGATCATTGCAGGTATAGTTAGCTAAGATGAGGTCATACTGAAATAGGGTAGATCTTTAATCCAGTATTACTGGTGTCCTTATAAGAAGAGAAGAGATGGATACAGAGGGAAAATAGTATGTAACAGATGCAGATACAAGGACTGGAGTGATGCAGATACAGATTGGAGGGAAGTATCTTCAAGTTAAGGAATGCCAAAAATTGCCATCATTACTAGAGGCTAAGAGAAAGGCATGCAATAGATTCTCCCCATGGCTCTGCCAACACCTTGATTTTAGACTTCTAGCCTCCAGAACTGTAAGAGAATAAATTTATGCAGTAACATGCTACGGCAGCCCTAGGGAATGAATATACCCATACAAGGTCTAGAGCCCAGTGCCTTTGCAGAAAGGGTCTTCAATATTTTCTCAACTAAATTGAAGTTTGAATTATTATATAATTCTTTCTTGTTATAAAGAGCCCCTGAAACAATAAAAAACAAGCATTTTTTTCATTGTGTTGTTTATCTGTGTGTACACTGATACTCTACTACACAGTTGTTGCGTTAGTTCTCTTTTACTGCATTAGCAACTGGAATTCTAGTTATTTAAAAGCATTTTAAGCTATTAATTTGAGATGTTTTTCTTTACTTGCCTGAGTTCAGTAGATGAGATAAATAAAAAAGAATACTCCAAACATTTTTATTTTATTTTAGTACACTAAAAACATGAGACTTCTTGCATCAGAAAACACACCTCACCCCTTGGCTGTCAAAGCTTCTGCACACTGTGGAACCAGGGACTGGCCTACACCTGGGACATATCACCACCAGCAACGCTGTCTCCATGACGAGTGGAGCCACTGTACATGATGTGCACTTCCAGGGTTTCAGAACCAGCCCGTCAGGCAGCTCCAACCCCCAGAAAAGCCACATAACTGCCTCCACTAACAACTGTAGTCTAGGCCACTGAGGCACTCACAGATACCATTGACGTTGATTACAGCCAAAACAAAAACGAAAACAACAAACAAACAAAAAAACCTATTTGGAGACTACACTCCTGCACTCACCCAGATGATAGCCAAAGTGCCCTATCCAACTGATGCTATAGGATATACTTACAGAAGAGTCCTTCCCTACAAAAGCCACTCCATAAAACTGGAAGAGGTAACAATTCTACCAGATGCACAGATACCAATGTAGGAACACAGGAAACATGAAAAAGAAAGAATGCATGACACCTCTAAAGGAACACAATAATTCTCCAGTAACAGGCCCAAAAGAAAAGGAAATCTATAAAATGTCTAAAAAGGAATTCAGAATAATGCTCTTAAAGAAACTCAGTGAGGATGCACTGGGATTAAGAAGGCAGACAGGAGGCAGGACTAGCTTGCAGCTCCCACTTGGATGGACAGAGCAGTGTGTGGAGACTCACACTGTGAACTTTTGCTCCAAGAACTACTGCAGGAATATACCAGCAAAGCCAAGAAAATCCACAGACCCTCTGACGGAATTTGA